GGGGGGGAATGACACAAGGAGAGCAGGGCTAGGTGTTCGAGCCAAGGAGAGGAGCTAGGCCTAGACGTCTGTGATTTCTTACACAATAAAAGTGTGCATTTCAGTGTATGTGTATATACTCCTGTTATAACAGCACATTGTCTTAGATTTATCATGCATTCTGGATTTCAGTTTTCTTTCCCCGGGTAGTGGATATTCCAGCGCAGCTGAATTGCTCTAGTGCATCACATAAACGTCTGCGATTTAAATTACAGATAAAAAAGAAGCAAGTCAATAAGTTTTCCAGGCCAAAGGCAAAGTGTCAGGCAGCATCAACCCAGAAAGAGATAACAATAGGGAGAAGACTTTTCTGAAAGGACCGAGCGTGACAGAAGGTTTGACAGAGAGACCTAGACCTGTGAGAAAGACAGAGAGAGAGGCAAGTGAGGCTTAGAGGTAGTAAGGTAGGCTGTGCAAGGCATCGTCAATCTAGGCTGAATCACAGCTCTCAGCAAAGCAAAGTTATTAAATATGTCAGCAAGCAAGAAAGAAATGAAGAAGCAGAGAGACAAGTGCACATGTTCAGAAGAAAATATTATTCATGCTTCCTAAAAGCATTACAGACTATGTTTATACTGACTTTATTCTCTCAGGATAAGCTCTTTGGGAAATATCATCTTAAAATACATTTAGCTGTGTTTGGGCCAAATATCTAGTTCATTTAGACAAATTAGGTGAACGGCAACAATTTGGGGCAGATTTTTTAGCAGATTCTCAATATTTATGTATGTATGCAGGAGTGATAGAAAGGACACTTGGGGATTTCATGACAAGAAACCCAGTCTTTTTAAAATGTAGTTAAATGGAAAACAGCCTGCTGACCAACAACTAAGCCCTTTTTTGTGAGTATAAATATATAGGTCACAGGAGGGAAGAAGTCAGCAAAGGTGTGGCAAAAAAAAAAAAAGATACGTCAGCTCATTTGACTAAAAGGTGCGGCCACATTATAAGCCACAGTTGGTTGTAAACCCTTGATAGCCCGATTCTGTTTTATGTCAGAGAGACATGAAGAAGATGTAATATAGCTAAAGTATCAGATCAGGGATTAACATTAAAGCACAACAGAGCTTCACCTCAGTTCTTCTTCCCAAACTTGACCTCTCAGCTGGGCCTCTGGGTGCCAAAGAGAGCTTATCCTCTTTTAAATAGCTCCTCCTGATGACTTGCCATTTGAATATCAACAGAGGCACAGTGGACGGATGAGAAGGCTGTCGTGCATCCAGCCAAACACAGGAAGTGTTTTACCATGACTGCAGCTGGTCAATTACCACTGCTGCTGCAATGATTGCAGTTATCATTGCTCTTATGAAAAGGCATCAAAGAGAGGCGGCTGGGAATCCACTGAATAATGGGATAGTAGTATGTAAAGAGCAGAGAGGGGAGAGGGAGCTAATAAGCCAGACTGGCCTGTTGACTGCTACTCATCCTTGAAAATACACCAAAGCTGCAATGGCGCTGACCTGATGGCTCATCTGCAAGTTAAAATAGCCGTGCGATCCGCCAGCCTCATCATATTCATGTGCAAACAGGCAGGCTAACAGCAGGTGCCAAGGCACATTTTTCTCCCCTTTCAAATTGCTCTTTTATCCTGTTAAGCACTTAGCCCATTCAAAAATACACAAAGACATATGGAGATAGCTTTAAGTGGGAAATCAAACCGTTGAGATGTCAGATATGTACAGGGGAATTTAAAGGAGATGATAGTGGCATTAAAATACAGAGATACTGCTTTGAGATGTTTTCTGGGAGCGAATCTCACAATTAGGACTCAGTTGCCACGGCAGCCAATGCTGTAAGGGAAGCAATTGTGCTCATGTCTGTGCATGAAGAGAGGGCTAATGTGGGGGAGATCAATACAGGCGGAAAATGCTGAGAGCAGCAGTCTGCTGCTGTTCTCCACAAACCTGTCTGACAAAGAGCGGCGAGAAAGGCCACTGCCAACCTGGATGTCACGGCACTACTGACTAAGCTATTAAGGCCTACTTCATATAACACAGAAATTATGCTCCCAAAAAATCTGTTTTGTTAAGCAAACTGCTTTCATACGATTCTCCTCTGCAAAACAAAAAGAAAAAACAACCTCTGTATAGATAACAGCCTCGAGTTCATACGCTGACACCACACCCTATTCCAAAGAAACAAACCAGTTGACACAAACCAGTTACACCTCTACAACAGATACACAAAGGTGTGCCGCAAAGCCCCATTGTGATGGCTGTTATTCGAAACCCTAACTGATATTTAGGCAACTACCCAGTCTGGCTGGAGCTCTAAAAATGTGAATGAAACAAAAGGAGGGGGGACTGAGTTAGAGTGGGAGAAGCAGGCAGAGAGAGAGAGGCTGTTCCAGAGCGGGTTAGCCAAGTGGCCTGCTCTTTTATTTTACAAGGGTGGGGGTTAAACCGTGTCATAACAAATAAAGAATCTATTACTTTGAAAGGTAAATTAGGCTACTATTAAAGCACGCCCTAACGATACATTTCTGACTAAAACTTGTCAAAGACTTTAACGGATCTCCTCAGCGTCCGAGGTGAAAGCAAATGAAAAAGCTTGCACAAAGCATTACAACTGGCCCCACACTCTGCTCGCACAAAGGAGCAGTTGTTTTTGCTCTAGTCATGTTTCCGAAGTGCTCAGTATTCACCTCGCACTTTCAAACAGAGGACCGGGAGGGAAGGAAACACCTCCTGCCTGTTGAGGAAGTTCATTTTCAGACAACAAATTCAGACTTCACACAGAGACAGTTAGGCCCGCTATACGACAAAAACAGTGAAATCGAGCAGCACGAGGCTACAAGGTAGCGTCTATTGAAGCAACAGTATTTACTCGGCCAATCTAGGAGTTCCATCTTCGTGTAGCTTACAGATAGCTGGCAAACACCCTGGCTGGACCTAATGTATCAACTAATGAAATCACTCAGGGAAAAACAAGCGATCAAAAGGCCGGGCAATGGCTCGGTTCATGTTCGTCAGTGACACTAACCTCCTCCAACAACTTCAGAGTCAAACGCTCAAGACTGCACTTTGACTGTCAACAGAGGTGAGGCCTTCCAAAGTACATGCCAGTCCCTAGCCAACACTGAAACCTTATCTTTCCAGTCATGTGCCTGTAAGTTCAGCATACCGACACACACAACAACCTCAGTTCCTCTCAAATATTAAAAAAAACAAAACAACAACAACAACAACAACAACAAAAAACAACTTCATGCTGTATGCTTGCAAACACAGCTCCACGGTCTTGTAGGAAACGGCTGAAATTAGAACGTTTCTATAATTGTCAAGGGTCAGTCCTTGAGTATGAGAAAACTTTCTATGTGCAGTAAAATACAACAGTGTTTGCAAATGAAACGCAGAAAACACCAAAAAAGCCCCACAGGGAACTCAAATGAGGAAAGACTTCTTTCCTGATTTTACAAAATAAATAAATAAAACATTATTGGGCTCTGACAAAACCATGATAGATATCCATGTCAACCACGAAGCTCCAGCAGAATGAAAATATTTACTGAATCTCCCCATTTGACTTAATCGACCAAAGCACACACACGTGGCAAACAAATATAAGCACACAGCTACTGAGCTCTGCCCGCTCCATATATAAGAAGTTTTGAACCCTTCACTTAAAAAGCTGACCTCTTGCTTTATACATTACAGACTTTACAAATTCTGCTTTCCATGTGTTGCTGTTTAACATCAAATTATAAATATGAACCATATGGTAACAGCAACAATAGTCACCAAGAGTTGTTTACTATCGACTCAGTATTGTTATTAGGCAGTATTATAATAACTGCATCTTAATTAGTGCTGAACAACCTCGTTATTCTGCCAATCATCACTTATTCAACCTTTTCCATTAGAGCACTGAATACCAACTACTTAAAATAGTCAGTGAAAAGTCACAAAATACTTGCTTTTTTCAGCAGCAGAGAAACTACCGAGTGTAATCATTTACAGTTTATTATAAACAATGAATATACATTCTTGATGGTGAAAGGGCATAGTAGAAATCTAGTTATTCCAATGCCATTTACTTTTTGAGATGCAGCTTTTTGAAAGAGCAAGGATTTGGTCTAGTAATACAAGCTCATCAATTATTCTATGATTGAGTCATTTAAAGTACACGGCCCAGTATAAAATTCTTATTTAAAGGCGGTCAGTCTGTTTGACATTTACATTTGACTTTGTCCAAACACCTAAGCTACAGTTGTAGAAATTCTGAGACACTTAAACGGACACTGATATATGATACTTAGTGAGGATTTACAGACAAGCTGGTAAGCCTGTGTTGTTGTTGTCGTACTGCTATCAATTAAATAAATCTTTTTATTTCTGCCTAAGCAAATGAGACAAAGAGCCACTGTGACAGAGGACACGGCCGTCCTTACCCCTTCCTTTCTCTCAATCAAGGAAACAGCCACATCAGTTGTTGCTTTCAGTGAGGCGGGCCCTAATGGGCTGTGTCTCGAGTCCACACAGTCAGAAATGAGACAGGCAAAGGAGCAGTCAGGGGGTGGGGGGCTGTAGAGGGAGGCGACTCACCATAGAGTCAATCAAGAGATGTAAAACAATAAGTGGAGTAGACAGAGGGGCACCGCGAGAAGGAGATAACCGCTGCCAGTATGCGACGTCTAAACAGACGCTTAAAGAGGGAAAAACAGATTTTCAGATCACGCAGAATCAACCTGTTTTGTCTTTTTGCCAGCTTGTGACATTAATTACAACACTGACGCCAGTTTGTAAAACAGCTGTGGCAAGCTCAGGGCATAAAAATAGATGCCATTTAGCTGCACGGTGAACTCTCAAGAGAGACTAAATAATGTGAAACATCGCAAAGAGCAGACAAGCTGATCACCCAAATAGGACAGAAAAAATAAATAATGACCAGGAAGCGAGTGGGCGCGTGAGTGGAAACATGTCTTTTCAGGTGTTGACATTTACAACTCACTTCAGAGCTAGCCCCCTATGTTTGATTAGAAGAATGTGACAGACCCAAAACAACAACAACACACAGCATACTCCTGGGGATGCCCCTCCTTTATGACTAATCAGGGGCTCTGGTTAAGTGATCACTCAAGCTATCCATTACAAAACTGCATGAAGCATAAAGTCAGGCAGGCCACTGTCAACAGCCAGAGCTCAAGGTCACTGATTAGTGGCTAATCTCAAGTAATTATTTGTTTAATTGAACAAGTTAAAGTTGAAAAAAAAAATGGTCCAAAGAAGTAATTTGAAACTACTGGAGACTTACTTTAGGCTTTAAATCAATCAACAACAACAAAAAATGCAGAACACCTGCTAAAATTTAGAAATTCTATTTTCAAATGTGATTAAACTTTGCAATATGCACACAACAGCAGCATCGTGGTAACACAGTCACTTCAAGAAACCAAACTTCCTTATTCTGCCAGTTATCAGTTGTTCAGCTTTTTCCAATACAGCACCCGAGCACCAACTATTTAAAATGTTCAGTAAAAAGTCAAAGTACTTGGTAATGACAGGGATTGCAGAGAACAGTAGGTCACAAATCTCTGAGCACAAATCTATTAAGCCAATCCGTGAGAAACCAGCTTTACTCTGCGTTAAGCAATCCTCCCAAAAAAGTGGCTGCCGCGTGGGTCAGCTTTCGTAATGAATTCAAAAACCACAGCCACTCGCATATCTATAGAGAACATGGTGGATTTTTCAGAGGACACAATCTTTCATCAGCTCAGGTCAAAGTACACAACTCTGTGATAAGACCGATTACATGGCAGCAGCAGCACTTTTAAACTGAGCGTGTTGTGTCACTCGTTTGGATAAAAGGTAACAGCCACATGACACAACAGGCCCAAGCCGTCTCCTTATTACTACATTTAAATCGGTCATACTTAACACATTGGGATAATGGATGTAAAATTTTATTTGGCCGTGCGAAACTCGGTCAACAAAAAAATGTGCTGCGGTGGTCTTTTCAGTGACGTTGCTTCATTGTTATACATCCTCTGACGAGTGTTTTCCTGTTCTCCCATCAGTACAGTAGACTCGAGCGACATTTACACCACTGTGGTTACCAAGTTGTGAAAATGAAGTGTGGAATTCTTGAGCGTATGCGTGGAGCTTGAGATACATTTGACACCCCTGCGTCTACTATTGTGCTCAGCTGGTGTAAAACAGCACCCAAAAAAGTGAATAAAACTGCTATTAGTGTAATCAAAAGATGGACTTGATACCTTAACTATGTGACTATGTGGGCATCTATTAGACTATCTTTTCATTTGTTACTATTTCATTAAATGACTCTTTCATAGGCTGTCAAAACACCCACAGAGTTTACCGTCAGGAAGTTCAAGCAAAAGATTCCAAACAATGTCATGAATGAGTCGTCGTGCAGTCAAGTTGTAAATTTCAGTTTCATATTGTCATCTCACGGCGATCTCACTCGTAAGTCTACCAGTTACCTTTTCAAACACAGCGTACTGTTAGCAGACCCATTCAAAAAGAGCAGAAATAAGACTAAGTAGTCTCCTTCCCATTTCCCCTGTCTTTTGCCTCTTACAAAGCCTGTCTATAGTGTCAATTCCAACATCTCAAATAACCTTGTGATGGTGCATATATAAAGATAATCCGAAAGGTACTGACAGTGTTTTCGATCCCTGAAGACATGTAGCCATTTCACATTGCAATAACCACATCAGTGGGTTACAGCAGGTCTTATTTATAGTAATGAATGTCTATTCTCGGATCCAAAAGTGCTTACCCTTCAGAGGCTTCTGCACAAATACATACATGAGTGGATACATGTCAGTTTTACAAAGACACCAGATGGTTTGACCCCACAATATGACCACAAAGATTCTGGCATTAAAATAATGGCAGACTGACAACATCTGTTTCTTTTTTGTCTTCTTCTGTCCCTTAAGCTCCTGGTGTCTTTGTCTTCTATTTATCACCAGGGCTTTAACAACTGTCAGGCAAAGTGAAAGGAACAATGTCAGTCTACTTGTCTCTCCATCACATTTCCCCACCCTTCAAATATACGAATAAAACCTCAGTGCACATAATGAATTTTAGATGAGGTTTGTCCAGTCCAGTAAATGCAATGCTAACAGGCAGCAAGGTAGGAAACATCACACACAAACACCAGAAACAACACATGAAAGTATATAAAGGTCTATTCAACAGCAAAATATACGTTATAGCCAACTGCAGTAGGCAGAGATATTTTTCCTACAGTCTGACATTGTTTGTAGAGCACTCTGTATCTGGGACAATCTTGTGATAATCCATTACATCATGTGGCTAGCCAGTGTAGCCTCCAAACCTCTGGTGCCGTCGATATATATATATATATATATTATGAAATATTCAACTATTTATAGCTATCAGGGAAGATGTGTCTGAACAGTATCAGGAGTAATAAGTCGCTCAATTTTTCTACCTACTACAGACTGACAAAACAGGCGAAAGACGTTCAAAGACACAATGAGACTCAAACTCGGTGGAAAGGATACGCTGAAAGTGCTGTTAGCACAGAAAACTGATATGCTCCGGAGCTACTAACAGGCACACAGAGCACTTAAAACACTTCACACTCACACACATACAAGCAACCACAAGTCAGACGCACAACGAGGAATACAAAGTTACGAGCAATTACGCGGAGTATTGCACAACATTTCCCGACACACGGGGTTTGTTACGAAGGAACTTGTCTCCGTTTTAATTGGCCGTATTTTCACTAAGTTCACTAAATGTTACTAGCTTTAACTCACCGAGAAACAACCGTCAGGCAGAGCAGCGTTAGCAGCCGCTCGACAGGTCAGGGGAAGGCACATATACCGCCTAGCATTAGCATTACATTTTAACTGGAAGAGCAGAAAGGGATCTGTTTGAATGTTTCAAAACACTCTTTGGTGTTATAAGTAATATCCCTTTATGCTCTCCAAGACATAAGCCCGGAGAAGAGAGAAGTAACGTTAACATTAGCTAGCTGGCCACATGCTGTCGCTTGATCTGCCATGCTGGCTGGCTGCTCTAAGCAAAGTCACTTGACCACATTTACTTTTAGCTTGTTCGAAACACAGCCCGGATCCTGCCGAACACTTATTTAATTACAACCCACTTAAAAACAATCGGCTACTCACAATCATGCACGGCGTGCCTCGGTGCGGTGCTTTTAAAGACACGTCTGCGCGCAGTTTATTCAGATGTCTTGTCTGTCTCACACACAATGTCAGAGATCAGATCAGCAGCTGCTTCCTCCATACACGCAGCGCGCAGATCACACAACGCACGGCAACGCTACCAAACCCCTCGCCGTCGTCATGGCAACAGGTCCACTTCAGCCAATCAAAACTCCTCCCCTCCTATCTCCCCTGGCAACTGCCGCAGCGCTGGAACTCCGCGAACGCGCACGCCATCCAATTTTTTTTTTCTATCGTGCAATGTGCTTTCACTTCTATCACCAGCTGCACGTAATCTATAGGAAGTATTTTTAAAATATATTTATATATCTATGTAGTTTTCAAAACCAGATTTATTGAATTAAAATGTGCCATTAACAGTGAAGCAGCAATGGGATTAATAATTAATTTGTTAAAGTGTGGGAGCGAAATGAAACCGGACGGGTCCCGCACAAGCACTGCCGCGTTATTCAGGCTGCACAAACACCTCGGGGCGGAGAGAGAGGATGTGTCACCACACCCAGCTTCATGACGATAGCGGACCCTCAATGGGGCCCCTCCTAGAGTAAACGATGATACAAGGAGCTAATGTGACCCGTGGATACACAACACACACATGCTGGGTAATGCTTGAGTATACAGACAAAGCAAAGCAAAGAATTTGGAAGAAGAAGAAAAAAGATAAGCATTTTATGTGCTTCTCTCCAGTGCAGAATCAAAGTGTTCCTCTGTGCATGTGTTAAAAGTCCATATTTGCACGAAGCTGCTGTGCTTATGTACATGCCTGTGCTTATGTACTTTAGCAGCCAAAAGTGTGCTTCAGGAAGCCCGGCAGCTCGGTTTTGTATCTCTGGCTATCTGGTGAGTGCAGCTTTACTGGCCAACTGACTTCACACCAAGCTGTAACTTTCACATAACGGTGATACCTTTACTCATCCCAGCCACTCTGTTTCATAAGCATACATGAGTAGCTCTCTGTGGAATGATCTAATAGCCTCTCTATTTTTATTTATTTATTTTAATGTGCATAAAGCCAACCTGCCATGCAGGAGAGCTGTCAGTATGCACTGCTTTCACCTAACAAGCACAAGATCACTTGTTTGATCCCGGAGGAGACCACAGATCCCTTTCAGGTTGCAACAGGAAAGGCAAATCAATTGTTTTAAAAAAAATATCTGCCAAATCAAACATGCAGAGCTACCTGCTGTGGAAACCCCTTCTGAATAAGGGAGCAACCGAAAGTAGCTTGCACTCTCTTTTCTTCCTCTTCTTTAAACTGGACAAACAGGCTTGGTGGTGGCGTAACAGTGTTTTTGTGTCAAAATGAATACTTGTCTGACAGTAATGTGAGTCTTAATGTTTTTCAGTGTGTCGTTAATATATGGCACACACACACACACACACACACACACACACACACACACACACACACACACACACACACACACACACA